TTATCGTCCCGCCCAGGCGCGAGAATTTGAAACTGTCGCCTGGAGGTTACCGTTGTTGCCGAGTTCCCCTCACAGCCCGGACGAGGTTCAGCTTCGTATATAGGACTTATCCTTATGATGAACAAGATCAGACAGGAGACACTAAGTAATATTTAGTATACCATGGGTGTTTAGTAACGGCAATTGATTATTCAGAATTTTAATAGAGGATCATGATCAGATTAGAGTTGAGAAATTCCGAGGACTAGTGACAGTAATTGCAGTCAATTGAAAGAGATAACTCAAAATTATTTTATTTATAATAATAAAAAAATATAAATAATTTATCTATAATAATAAAAAAATATAAAAAGATAATACCACGTAACCCCTGAAACAAGTCACAATAAAAGCTATAACAAAAGATCATACTGCGCATTCAAACCACAAATCAACCGTGCACTGAAATTACCAAAAATAATACAAAAATACGATCTTACACACCCTAAACATCGCACACCCTAACGACCTTTCACATCCCAACGACCTCACACACCCTAATGACCTCTCACACTATATCTCACGCCCTAACAACCTCTCGCACGCCAACGACCTCCTCTTAAACCCTAACGACCTTCTCTCAGACACTAACGACCTCTCAACGACCTCTTATCACACCCTAACGACCTCTCACGACCCAATGATCTCCTCTCACACCCCTACGACCTCTCACGACCCACAGGTACTTGGGCTCGGACGACCACTATGGCGAGCGTGCGCACCAGCACCAGTGGGAGGATGGCTCTCGCTCCCTCGACAACTACAAGCGCCGAATGATGGCCGCCTTTGAGCTCTTCCACAAGCTCAATGTCAAATATTACTCGGTGGGTTTTTGTTTTTGTTTTTCCTCTGTGCGTCTATGATTATCCATTTTCCCTTCGTCTGTCTCCCTGCTATTCATCTTCCTTCGTCTAATTGGCGTTTTTTCTTCTTTGATCTTTCTTTCTTTCTCTCACTCTCTCTCTACTCTCTTCTCTACTCTTCACTCTCACTCTCACTCTCTCACTCTCTCCTCTCTCTCTCTCTCTCTCTCTCTCTCTCTCTTCTCTCTCTCTCTCTCTCTCTCTTTTTCCCTCTTCTCTCTCTCTCTCTCCTCTCCTCTCTCTCTCTCTCTTTCCTCTCCCTCTTCCTCTTTCTCTCTCTCTCTTTCTCTTTCCTTTTTCCTCTACTTCCTCTCTCTCTCTTTTCTCCACTCCCCCCCCCTCTCTCTCTCTCGCTCTCTCTTTCCAATTAGCTTTCTCCCCTTCTTCTTTAACCCCCTCCCTCCCTTCCCCTACCCTTTTCTATTTCTTCTCTCCACCTCTCTTCCTCCCTTGCATCATGCCGGGGTCAACCCCCCCCCCCCCCCGGCCTCAAATACATCCTCCTCTATGAACATGTCATGACTGTTCAGCAAAATGAATTATCCGCGGCGCGATAACGATCTATCAATCAGCTTCTCTGTCTCTATCTCTTTCTCTCTGTGTTCTCTGTCTGTCTGTCTCTGTCTCTCTGTCTGTCTGTCTGTCTGTCTGTCTGTCTGTCTGTCTGTCTCTCTCTCTCTCTCTCTCTCTCTCTCTCTCTCTCTCTCTCTCTCTCTCTCTCTCTCTCTCTCTCTCTCGTCTCTCTCTCTCTCTCTCTCTCTCTCTCTCTGTATATCTTCTTATCTACCTATCTATATATATTTATCTTCATCCCAACCCCTCTCTCGTTAGTATAGCAGTAGTAAAAGCAGTAGCAATGGTAGTAACAGTATTAATAGTTATTGTAATAGCAGGAGTAGTAGAACAAGGATAGTGATAATAGTGAGAATGATGATACTGATAATTATGATAGTAATATTAACAATGATAATGATAATACTAATTATGTGATATGATGATGATTTATGATACTAATGATCATGATAATAATAATAAAAATGGTAAGATATTACTAATATTACTAATAAAACGGTAACGATGCGTTTACCAAACCCACTTTTATGAAATACACATTTTAGAATATTGCCCCATGTTAGTATTTCCAAACATAATTTCCTTCCTGGCGAAAATATGAGTAACGCCAATCAGTAACGCAATACTATTCCATCAGAGTTATCGCCAGTCTCCCCTCGCTCCCGCTTGCCCTCGACCCCCCCTCCCCCCCTGCCCGCAAAGACCCCAGCGTGACGCCCCTCTAACCCGGCCGCCTCCCGCAGGTGAGCGACCGCGACATGGCACCGGAAGGCGACAGCTTCGACGAGACCAACCGCTACCTGGACGAGATGGTGACCCTCGCATGCGACCTGCAGAGGCAGATCGGTGTCCGTCCAATGTACTTCGCCGCTGACCTGTTTTCTCACCCTCGCTACATGAACGGCGCTGGCTCCAACCCCGACGCCCACGTGTTCGCGTACGCCTGCGCCCAGGTCAAGCGCAGCATGGACGCCGCCAAGCGCCTGAACGCCGAGAACTTCGTGTTCTTCAACCCCCGCGACGGCTACCAGAGCGTCCTGCAGCGCCAGTTCTTCCGCGACATGTCTCACATGGCGCAGCTGTACCGCATGGCGGCGCAGTACAGGGATAAGATCGGCTTCAGGGGCCAGCTGCTGATCCAGCCCAAGCCAGCCGACCCTCGCCGTCACCAGTACGAGTCGGACGCCATGTCGACCATGCACATGCTGCGCCACTTCGGTCTCGACAAGCACTACAAGCTGTACATCAAGCCCGCCTTCTCTCGCCTCATGAGCCGCCCTTACGAGCACGACGTCTACATGGCCGCCGCATACAATATGCTCGGCTGCGTCGACGCCTCCGACAGCTGGCCAGAGGTGCGAGGAACGTCAGATCTGTGCGCCCGCAACGTCCGTGACGCCACATACGTCATGAAATGCGTCTTGGAACAGGTACGTCATGCCCCTTGTAACAGCCTCAAGGCCTCACAGTGCTATACTGTGATGGCCAAAGGCGGATAAGGTATCCTGTGAAATTTTATTGCTTATTACAAAATTATACTCTGAGTCACCTTTTCGCTTGACGACAGGGAAGATGGGTCATTGAAATTACACTGTCAAATACCTCATGAAAATTTTAGAAATGGAATGATAATGGTGTGGCAAAAAGCTAATGCACGTATATCAGGTGCATATGAACAGTGAATATAACTGCCTCACTTGAACTTCCTTCCCTTCAAGCAGAGCGGTCTACAGGGCGGTGGCTTCATCCTGGGCGGGCGTGCGCGCCGCGAGTCCACCGAGCCACGAGACCTGTTCCACGGCCACATCATGGCCATGGACACCTTCGCCCGCGCCCTTAGGAACGCCGCCCGCATGATCTCCGACGGATCCTTCAGCCGCAGCATCCAGCAGGTGAGTCCTGTTGTCTCCAGTATCTCAATCACACATGCAGTCCATACTAATGATACCCCTTTCACAGCCCGAGCACCCGCAGCCCTCTCACAGACACCTATTTCTCCTTCTGCAGCGGTACTCTTCCTACAAGTCCGGCCTCGGCGAGCGCATCGAGAAGGGCGCCGCGTCCTTCGAGGAGTGCGAGGACTACGTCCGCAAGTGCGGCGAGCCCCAGCCACAGTCCAGCCGCCACGAGCATTTCGAGAACATGTTCAATTACTATATTTTCCCTGCACGCCAATAGACCTTTGCATCCGCTGTCTTGCACAGATGGGAAAAACTAGTCAAAGCGGCCAATGCATTCTTATGCGTCACGGAATAACGTGACGCATAAGACATCACACATATTAAATTCCCACGCAATGAAAAGGAAGACGAACAATATTAATGGTGCCAAGCTTGTCACCTTCCAAGAAGTCATCGACCGAGACTGACCCTCAGTACCTCACCCTCACCCGCTGTGGTCACGTCTACTGCAGGATAACTACAACTACTAACTATATATCAATTTTTCACCCTTTAAAGAAACAAAGCTAAAAAACAGAAAAACACAATTAATAACATATACATCCGAATTCACACTCCTGAATTTTCACATACATCTTGAAGATTTCTTCGTTATTCGAACACCACAAAAATAAGAAAACAAAAGAAGAAAAACGAAAACAAGAAAACCCTAGTTTAATGTCCTATTCGAACTTCGCGGTTCCCCAGCGAGTCAGTCGCCCGGGATCAGGAGATGAGGGCGTATCGTCAGCCCTGGGAAGCGGGCGTCTGACATCGCTGACGTCGCCAGCAGAAGCCGCCGAAGTCCCCAACGAGATGACGGATGTACTGTGAAACACGTTTTCATATATATATCATTGGCTCAGTGATTAACACACACGATCAAGATTATCTCTAATTGGGTTATGGTATGAAGATTTCTTTAGGCCTTCATTTTATCTGTAAATGCTTACGATGCAAATAAAAATAAAAACATCCACTTTCTTTTAAATACATACATCTGTGGTAAAGAAACAGAAAGGTTTTAATTATAACTCAGCGATAATACATACAAAAAGATCCATTTATTTTCATCACGTATCATGCAGCTGCATATATATACACGCCTTTCTGAACACTGAAACCTAGAAAGCAAAATCAGCCATGAATCAATAAATATTTTAAAACAGACTGGCTCACTGACTTGCTACAGAATGAGATAGTTTTCAATCGAGGCTATTTCGTCCTGTGGTTATATAACAACGTTCTTCAGTGTAACATACACCTATACAGAATTCACAGTCTCTTCGAATTCTGGGGATGGGAACACCTCAACTCCACAGTCGCTCCTTCACTGTCAACCTCCACGTTAGTCCTTCGCTACAGGAGTACTCCGCACTTTCTTCAAGAGTCCTTTCTTCGCTATCTCCCTCACTATGTCCTTTTTTCAGCTTCTCCTTTGTCATATCCTTTGCTATGACATTTCTCCGACATAGTCTTTGCTATAACCTGTCTCCGTCATATCCTATGATATGGCCTCTCTACGTAATGTCCTTTGCTATGACCTTTCTCCGCTATCCTCTGAATCGTTTCTCCGCCATCCTTCTTTGCCATTCCTGTCACCATACCCATCGTTATTTCTTGACTTCTCTCAGGCCTTCATGCCTTTTACTGTCTTCCGCCATATCCTTCGCCTTGTCGCCCGCCAAGCCCTTCGTTATCTCTTTTCTTCGCCAAGTCCACCTACTTTCTTTCACTATGTCTCCCGCGGTGTCCTTCGCCCCTTCCTTTCATGCTCTTCGCGACGTCGTCGTCCTCCTCCTCCTCCTCCAGCGTCAGCGTAAGGCGGCGGAGCGAAGTAGGTCCTCCAGCGTATCCACACTCGAAAGGTTCCTCACCAGCAGTGGCCGAGGCGAAGCGGGAACTGGGGGAGATACGTGATATTATAGCAGCACCGCCAGCGCCTTCTGCACTCGTAGTTTTTTTTTCAGAAATACCAATGATTATAGCATTTACAATATGCTTTTCGACTAGTGGTAGCGACAATAGCAGTAGCTGTAATAGTTGTAATAGCAGTTGTAGTAACAGAGACCGTAGCGGAATTTTTAAAAAGAACATTCTTAATCGCATTCTAGTAACAACTGTGATAGTAGTAGCTGCAAAAGCAATAACAACAGTTGTAGTAATAGCAGAAAGAGCAGTGATAATAGCAATAGCCGAAGTAAGTATGGCAGAAGCAGCTATGAAATAAGAAATTCGAAATCCTGCGAATGCATGAAAATGCCAAGGGATTACATTACTATAAAACGGATCTATGAAACACAGTAGTCATTCATGCTACAAACGCCACCACTGCAGAACATACACCAAGCTGACATCGAGGGTTTACCAAGATGAATAACATTTCCGAGAATGCCGGCACCACACACCAAAAGGATACTATCAAAGCAAAGCTGATAAAATAACAATAACACTAAAAACGCAGGAACAAAAGTCTTTCGGTGTGTGTCAAAAAATGCACAACAGGTTTGGAGGGAAGAAAATAGCTTGAAGACACGGATGACACGTGATACGTAACACAACATACCTTGCCTTAATGATGATGATGATGATGATGATGATGATGATGATTTACTGAATTACAGTATCTATACAGAATTCATGCATGGGTCAATTATGTTTTTTTTTTAAGATTCAACAATAACATTTCCAAATAACTAACAATAAATAAATAATGTTAAATTGGTAGAATGTAAAATCAACTAATACACCTCTATAGATAAATTTCAAATATATACACTAGCATGAAGAAATATATGGACGGTATGTACGTATGTATGTTTGTACACATACATATATGTTTGTGTGTGTGTGTGTGTGTGTGTGTGTGTGTGTGTGTGTGTGTGTGTGTGTGTGTGTGTGTGTGTGTGTGTGTGTGTGTGTGTGTGTGTGTGTGTGTGTGTGTGTGTGTGTGGTGTGTGTTATGTGTATGTGTGTGTGTGTATATGTGCATGTATATGTATGTTATATGTATGTATATGTGTGTGGTATCATGTGTATGTGTGTGTACATGTGAGCAGTGTATGTGTTTACGTATATGTATTATGTATGTATATATGTAACTATGTGCATTATGTATGTATGTGTATAGCTATATGCATCATGTATGGGTGTAGGTATATATCATGTTTCTAACATTATATATACATACATACATACATACATACATATATATATATATATATATATATATATATATATATATATATATATATAATCTATCTACCGGAAAGGCAGACCCACTACAAAGCATGCAAAAGCTGCCCACCTGTCATGCAGACTACAAGCACCAACCTTCCAGACGCACTCCTGAGGAAGGGCGCTGCTGGAGCTCATGAGAGGCCCAGAAGTCACTCTCGCCGCCGTGGTGCAAGTGCAGGAGCCTCTGCAACACGGGTCGGGCGAGGTGCGTGCTCTCCATTTCCGCTTGCAACAGCAGTCCCAGCGCCTCGGTCTTGCAAGGGGGAAAAGGAAATTTGTGTCAGTCTATTTGGTACAGTTTCAGTTTCACAAAGCCGGGTGGTACAATGCACGCCTTGCCTTGAACGGACAGAACGGCAAAAAAATAAAACGCGTTTGATCTATGTTATTTCCTCCGCAAGTTGTTCATAGGAAACTTAAGCAACTTTGGTACACATTTACACACACTGATACATGAAATAATCTGCGCAGACACAGAACATTAGACATGAAGAAAACAGCTTGCAGAAGATGCGATATGTAACATTATGATGTCTATGTAATGAGTCCAAAGGGACGATTATATGTTCAGATTGTTCTTCCATGTCAAAGGAAGCTAGGAGACTCACTGTATGACTTAGCTTCGTGACTGAAGAGCTCTCTTCTCCCCGCATTTCTTCCTCTTCTACGTCTCCTCTTTCTTGGCTGCTCTCCTGTGTCTCCTTCGTCTCTCCTTCGCAATTCTCAAAAGACAGACGACATTCGCACGGCTCGAGACGCTGTTGTGAAGCGAAACGGTTTTGGCTTCGCTGCTTCGGGCTCATCGTCGTTTAACACGATGAAACAAATATGTGTGTGTGTGTGTGTGTGTGTGTGTGTGTGTGTGTGTGTGTGTGTGTGTGTGTGTGTGTGTGTGTGTGTGTGTGTGTGTGTGTGTGTGTGTGTGTGTGTTTATATATATAAACATGTATGCAAAACCATCATACTTCCCCTACTCTCATATATCCCCATATACCTTTACCAAAACGAGCTATACGCACAGCCAGGAGCAAGAGCATCTGCTTGAGTCTCCATCGTGTCGAGGGCGAGGTGGAGTGAACCGAGGCGAGGGCCGAGGGCAGCCCAGCGTACGGGAGAACGGAGTCTCGGAAGGCCTGCAGCACATCACGCCTCACGTCTAGACTCTGTCAGCAAAGGGACACTGTGACTCGATTTTGTATTAGAAAAGGGAATTTCTTCCATGTGTGTGGTATGGGAGAAACGATGCCAATATGAAGTATTGTGTGTTGAGTTCATTGCAATAGAAATAAACAGAAGTGTGAATAAGAATGAATAACTAATGTGTATGTATATATAAGTATCAAGAATGTACGGTGAATAACTTTAGAGCGCAAGAAATGAAGACAAAATCGAAACGCATCGTTCATTCTGAGATAAGCATTGTCAAGCGCTAGTGATATCTTCATCGAGAACGCACAGTGACAGGAGCGAGGAGAGCCTGCAGCAGGGGCAGCGTCGTGGCGTAGAGACAGGACCACGCCGTCAGCAGCGCAGCCACGCGGTCCCCGTCCCTCGGGCTGGCCACTCGCACCGCCACCAGCCGCGTCCCCGTCGGAACCACCTGATGGCGCCACGTCCCCGTCAAACTAGCTCCCCCTCCACTCATCACCAGGACCGTCAGCTGTGTCGACAGAAGCGGTCTTTCCATCAGAAAATAGGGTTCGCTTGTAACAAGAGCTTGGTTTATACCTTGCTTTGTCTTTTGGCGGCTACTGGGGTGCACGTATCAATTAACTTCTTCCGTTATTAGAAACGTAAAGCAAGAAATTTTATACGTAGTGAAATGCTGAGTGGAACCCGTAGAGTTTACCGCTCTACCTACTAACAGTATTATTGTGAATATGAGTTGAAGTCGAAATAAAGAAAACTGTCATTTTCAGACACTTAATATACAGCCTAAAGGGTGCCAAATTCCGCACTGGAACTCAATTTCGAGGCTACTGATTACTTATTCAATCTTCTCAATATTCCCATTGCTTTACTCTATTGAAAACTGAACAAATTAAACTTCTCCAAGATGTGGTTTTTACATTCAACGTTCTCTGTATCAGATTCATGTACTTTATACTTTGCTATTTCTTTCCATATTTTTAGTGGTGCCATATACGATAAAGATTAGGCTGCATATCTCATGCACACTAATGGCTTATGTCAAATAAGTGAATAAATGAATGCATGGAAAAGACCTACCCTCATTCGCAAATAAACTTTAACGACTCATTATTAACATCTGAATTAACTGTTGTAATGCATCAACTTATATACCATCAAATAAAGAGAAAAGTTAGAAAGAACAAGAAAAAAATCTAACACATAAAATCTATCGGTTTATCTTTCACAAAAAAATCTAAATCCCTTGCGAATTTCCCCTTCCGCTAATTCCCGCCCGGCAACTCACCTTCTGATGGAACGCGCAGAGGCCCTCCGACGGGAAGGTGTTGGAGCGGTACACGTGGAGCAGCGCCTCGCCCACATCGTGCAGGAGGGACGCGGTGGGCTGCAGCACGAGCTCGAGGTCGTCTCCTTCGCTGCTGGGTCGTAGGATGGCCGAGAGAGAGCGTACGATCCTCTTCACAGATCCTTGGCGCGACGGCTTGTCCGATTCGCTGCTCGAACTCACTTGGGACGACCGGCTGCAAGAAGGGAGTTTCCCTCTCAGTGTTAAAGTGTGGATTGAGTGTTTTTGGTTTGCTCTTTTGTCCGCCCGTTTGTTAGAGAACTGTCTGTCTTGCTACCTATCCATCTACCTGTCAGCCTGTCTTACATCCATTTGATAAGTTAACTGTCTTTCTGAATGTAAATTTTATCAAACTTATCTTTTTGTTAATCTGTCCATATACCCATCAGTCTGTATCTCTGCGTCATCCCCGAGAGGAGGTCGACGGAGGCACGAAATCCTGCGGACACTCACCTTGACGAGGACGAGCGGAACCGCAGGCGCCGCGGGGAGACTTGGGGCCAGATGAGGCTGGAAGCGTCGGAGTTGAAGCTCCCGAAGGCGGACTCCTTCAGGAACACATCGGAGTCTCCAGGAGAGGAGATGAAAGAGGCCGACGGCGGAGAGGACTCCTCGCTCTCCTCGTCGCTGTGGAGTCTCGGACGCAGACAAAAGGCCATCATGGCGGGACGCGGATTCAGTTTAATTAAGGCCACATGACGGTTCCACTTACAGTCTCAACACTCGAAAAAGATTTGATTCTTAATGATCTTCGTTGAAATATATCGCAGTGACAGCCTGGTCCACTGTGGATTTTCAGACTACATTAAAATCCTTCGAATAGCAATAGACCATCATTTAGGTTCTGTGGAAGCATCAGTTAGATACTCCTAGAACTAACGTCCTCCTACAACTAAACCTACAACTAAACGTATCTTTGCTCTGCTTATGCGAAAAAAACTGGAAACTGCCCGTTTTCAAATTGCATAATAACGTATAATACACCGTAAAACCACACAATTTAAGATGCATCTATAAATAGATTTATATTCGTTTTGTTTGAATAAATAGTAATGCATGCAAGCAATTGTCATTAAAAAACGATCTTTTACAAAATCATACTCGGTGTATTTAAGCAAAAGTTCTTACAAATACTTACCAAGCTATATCTCCAACACAGACTCTACTGTCGCCATTCCCATAATACGAAAAAACTCCCATCAGTAATGTATATAATCAAAATGGGCCAATAGGCCATTACCCTTCCTTAGATAGCTATTGTCACTCCTCGATTAAGTTGGTAGCAAATACAAACAGCACATAACAACACCGGAATTTAAGATCATGCAGAAGGTTGTCGTCCTTAACACACTGCTAAATACTAAAAAGAGTTTTACATCCTGCATGGGCGCTCCATGACAGAAAAACTTAGGATATTCACAGGACTAGGGTATATACCCAGGCAATCGGGCACTGCAGTGTTGTGCGCGACCGCAGCTGTGTAATCTTGTAAGATACCTTATCTGAAGGTCAGATTATAAGTTTTCAGATAATAGCTTCGCAGATGTATATATGATAAGGGAGCAGCTACCGTTAGATAGTGGGGAAATTGGAGTCCCTTTTTGTTCCGCATTATAAATTCCTAGTATATTATGTATATATATATATATATATATATATATATATATATATATATATATATATATATATATATATATAATATGTGTGTGTGTGTGTGTGTGTGTGTGTGTGTGTGTATATATATAATTATATAAAATATGTATATATATATATATATATATATATATATATATATATATATATATATAATATATATATGTGTGTGTAGAGAAAGAGAAAGAGAGAGAGAGAGAGAGAGAGAGAGAGAGAGAGTGAGAGTGAGAGTGAGAGAGAGTGAGAGTGAGAGTGAGAGTGAGAGTGAGAGTGAGAGTGAGAGTGAGAGTGAGAGTGAGAGTGAGTGAGAGTGAGAGTGAGAGTGAGAGTGAGAGTGAGAGTGAGTGAGAGTGAGAGTGAGAGTGAGAGTGAGAGTGAGAGTGAGAGTGAGAGTGAGAATGAGAATGAGAAGAGAATGAGAATGAGAATGAGAATGAGAGTGAGAGTGAGAGTGAGAGTGAGAGTGAGAGAGAGAGAGAGAGAGAGAGAGAGAGAGAGAGTGAGAGTGAGAGTGAGAGTGAGAGTGAGAGAAAGAAAGAAAGAAAGAAAGAAAGAAAGAAAGAGGGAGAGAGAGAGAATGTAATAAGCCAGAAAAATATTTAAAATGAAAACCACAAAACACCAGTCAGAAAAGGCCCAAAAGCTAATTTTTTTTTAAATTTAAGGGTCGGGATTGGATAGCTCCTTTAAATGCATGCATTGTCCAACAGAAGTAATTAAACACCTCAAATGATATTTTCCGTGGTTTCTGGTCAGCCTTCACAAACTGTTAATGGTAAGGGTATTGATTGGTTATGTGCCGCATAAAAAGGTCATTAGCGGCTGGTTTGAGGATTTTTTGCCTTAAAGCAAACTAAAATGAATAACTTTATTTGATTCAACTGATGAGTCATTGGCAGTAGGTCCTTACAGCACCAGAGCCAGCTCTAGTAGTTTTGGCATCCTAAATGAGTTAAGGATTTGGTGCCCTCCTTTCCCAACAATGCCACCATCCAAAAGTGCCCTCACCCCAGATAGGAGTACTCTAGACCAGCATTCTCAATTTTTTTGGCTGCAACCCATTCAAACAACTTTAACAGATTCATGAACCATTCCCTCAGCAACAAGGCATTTCTGACAAACACTAACACATTTCCGTCTCTGTGTATTTTGCTTGTCAAAGTGTATGCTTGTATAGATCTCTGCCTCTCGGTCTTGGATAACCCTGGATATTCTGCCACTATCCAAAACTTATCCAGTGTTAGGATGGGTATTGGGATGAAGAGAAGTTGGAGGAAGGAAGAGGGGTTGCAGGATCTCACAACCCCTCAAAATTATTTCACGACCACCACTTTGAGAACCCCTGTTCATGACAACCACCTATTTGGCCTAATGGCATTTTGCATGTATTTGACTTTGTCAGGCTGTCAAGACATATTGGCAGATACTTTAAGGACAAAATCAACATTTAAATGGTGCTCAATTGATCAAGTGGAAAGGACCCTATCTTAATTCATGAGCCATTGCTCACTAATGTTTACACAATTATATCAAATGCACTTCCAGAAGCTGGATTTACAAAATACTGAAAATAAATAATTGCATTTGAGGCTGTACAAGGTCCAGCAAAATTTTGATTCATTTAGTATGAATTTTTTTCAGTTCAAAATCTGAAGTTAATTGTTGACATTCAGGTGTCAGGAATGAAAAAAATATTTATCATGTTTTATAAGTGCCTGGGAGCATCAACATTTGTTGTGTATTTCTAAAGGTTATCAAAACGAAGATTAAATATTATTGTATTTATTACAAAACTTATCTTAATATGAATTATGTAGTAATTCCTAAGTATGAAATAATACAAGATGTTTCATGCAGCATCATTCATCACAAAGAAATCCAACCTGCATCATGTAACAAAAAACAAAGTAATTCCTTTCCATTCTTACATAAAAATAATAGCTTTGATATAAAACTTAAAAGTGTTGCTTTGACAACACTATGCAGACTGCTGACTTCCAAGTGGATTCTTCACTACAATGATTACTGAATCTCCTCGTAAAAACATCTTCTGGATGTACCTGGAAAGTAGATACAAAAACAAAATAAGTTTAGGTCTAACTTAACTTACTGGAAGATGAAGAAATGTAGAGAGGTGATGTAGGGAAGGCAGGGGAGGAAAAAGAGCAGAAGAAAGAATGGGGGAGGGAGGAGGAGGAGGGAGGAGAGAGAGAGAGAGAGAGAGAGAGAGAGAGAGAGAGAGAGAGAGAGAGAGAGAGAGAGAGAGAGAGAGAGAGAGAGAGAGAGAGAGAGAGAGAGAAGAGAGAGAGAGAGAGAGTGAGAGAGTGAGAAGAGAGAGTGAGAGAGTGAGAGAGTGAGAGTGAGAGAGTGAGTGAGTGAGTGAGTGAGTGAGTGAGTGAGTGAGTGAGTGAGTGAGTGAGTGAGTGAGTGAGTGAGTGAGTGAGTGAGTGAGTGAGTGAGTGAGTGAGTGAGTGAGTGAGTGTGTGAGTGTGTGTGTGTGAAGAAAAGAATGTGGAAAAGGAAGAGGACATGGAAAAAGAGAAGAGGAAGAGAAGAAGGGAAAGGCCGAGGAAGAGGAAATAGTGGAGGGTAAAAGAGGACGAGTAGAAGGCATAAGGAGGAGGAAGATGAGCAGGAGGCAGAGGAGGAGGAAGATGAGCAGGAGGCAGAAGAGGAGGAGGAAGATGAGCAGGAAGCATAAGAAGAGGAAGAAGATGAGCAGGAGGCAGAAGAGGAGGAAGAAGATGAGCAGGAGGCAGAAGAGGAGGAAGAAGATGAGCAGGAGGCAGAAGAGGAGGAGGAAGATGAGCAGGAGGCATAAGAGGAGGAGGAAGATGAGCAGGAGGCATAAGAGGAAGAAGATGAGCAGGAGGCATAAGAAGAGGA